TCACTACTAAAAATACAAAATTAGCGGGGCACGATGATGCATGCCTGTAACCCCAGCTACTCAGGAGGCTGAGGCAGGAGATCTGCTTGAACCTGGGAGGCAGGGGTTGTGGTGAGCCAAGATCGTGCCATTGAACTCCAGCCTGGGCAACAAGAGCAAAACTCCGTCTCAAAAAAAAGAAAGAAAAGAAAAGAAAAGAAAAGAAGAAAAGAAAGGAAGAAAGAAAGGAAGAAAAGAAAGGAAGAAAAGAAAGAAAAGAAAGAAAGAAAAGAAAGAAAGAAAGAAAGAAAGAAGAAAGAAAGAAAGAAAGAAAGAAAGAAAGAAAGAAAGAAAGAAAGAAAGAAAGAAAGAAAGAAAGAAAAGAAAATACAGATTTTTCCATCACTCCAAAAGTTTCTCAGTGCTCCTGTGTATTCAGCACCTTCCTTCACCCCTAAGTCCCTAGCAACCACATTTTTCTGTCCCTATAGATTTGCCTTTTCCAGAGTGTCATATAAATAGAATCATATACTATGTAGCCTTTTGTATCTTTCTTCCTTCACATAGCACACTGAATTCAGATTCATCCATGTTGTTACGTGTATGGTAGCCCTTTCATTGCTGAGTTGCATCTTGATAAGCCACAGTTTATCCAATCAGCAGTGGAAGGATTTTTAGGCAGTTTGCAGTTCTTGTGATTATGAATAAAGCCATATAAACTTTTGCATGCACATTTCTGTGTGAACATTAAGTGTTCATTTCTCTTGTGTAAATACCAAGGAATAGTATTTCTGGGTCAAATGGTAAGTACATGTTTACCTTTTAAAAACTACCAGTTTTCCAAAGTAACTACATCACTCTGGATTCACACCAGAAGAGTATGCAGGTTCCCCTTGTTACAAATCCTCAACAGCTTTTGTTATTACAACTTTTGTTTTGTTTTGTGGGGTCTTTTTGTTGTTGTTGCTGGTCAAGGTTTAGCAGAATGTCATTGGGGTTTTAATTTACATTTCTCTAATAACTAAAGATGCTCAGCATCTTTTTATATGGTTATTTACCATCCATATATTTTCTTTGATAGAGTGTTTTACCTACTTCTTCACTGGGTGATCTGTGTATTTACTGGGTTAGATTTCTTTAAATACTACTATTTTGGATACAAGACCTTTATCAGGGTAGTAGTTTGCAAACATTTTCTCCGAGTCTGTGGCTTATCTTCTCATCTTCTTAACAGTATCCTCCAAAGACAAAAATGGTAACCTTGGGAATGACAATTTATCAATTGTTTTGTTTCATAATTTGATTGTGTTTTTTAATGTCATGTATTTAAAAATCTTGCCCAATCCAAGAACACATTTTTCTCCTACATATTTTTTCACAAGTTTCATAATTTTAGGTTTCAAATTTAGGTCCATAATCCATTTTGAATTTTGTAGGAGATAAGGGATACTGGTCTTTAGTTTTTTCTTGCAACATCAATAAGCTGGAAAGTGTTCCCTCTTGTATTTTCTGAAAGAATTTGTATCATTCCTTTCTTAAACGTTTGCTAAAATTTCCAGAGAAGCCTAGGAATTTAATTTCTTTAGCAGTGTGAAAGGAAAATAAATCTTGGGACCTCAAAATCACTAAGCTAAAGGAAAAGAAAAGTCAAGCTGAGAACTGCTTAGGGCAAACTCCCATTCTATTCAATGTCATCCCTCTGAGGTTCACCTAAGACAAATGCATATCTGATTGCTTCCTCTCCCCTACTGTTTATGTGAAAATGCAGATTCATTGAGCCGGAGTAAATTGTGATATTCAGTAGAAGACCATCAAAGACTCAAAAAACTTTCTGTCTAATCTAATTCTAACCTGGAAGCCCCCACTTGATGCCTTATCGGACCAAACCTATGTGCAACTTACACATATTGATTGATGTGTCAGGTCTCCCTAAAATGTATAAAAGCAAACTGTACCCCTGACCACCTTGGGCACATGTCTTAGGACTTCCTGAGGTTGTGTCACAGGCACGTCCTTAACCGTGGCAACATAAACTTTCTAAATTGACTGAGACCTGTCTCAGATATTTCGAGGTCTCGGTAGACATAAGACTACACAGATTTTATATTTCTTCTTGTGTCAGTTTTGGAAACTTGTGTCTCTTGGTAAATTAATCCATTTTATTTAAGCTATCTAACTTATTGGCATAAAATTATAACTTTGCCTTAGTCACCTTTTAATCTTTGTAAGGTCTACGGTGGTAACCCTTACCTCCCTAAATTTTTGTTCCTATTTTTCAGCAAATTCTTTTTAGAATATTTTTAGGCATAAAATCATTCACAAATCATGATAATTTTCTAGCCTCTCTTTCTGATATCATATCTCCCTTTACTCTCCTGTCTAATTACACTGATTACCTCTTTAAGATCAACATTAAGTAAAACTGTGATACTTCATGCATATTACCATTGAGCATGAGGCAACTTGTGATCTAATATATGTGTGCACACACACATTTGTAAGATTAAAGAAATAATCTTCTATTTTATCTAGGGCAAGAGTTAACAAACTATGACCCCTGGACCAAATTGGACCCACCACCTGCTTTTATACAGTTTTACTGGACTACAACGACGATTCATGTGATGATACTGTCTGTAGCTCCTTTCACATTACAGTGGTAAAGTTGAGTAGTTGTGACAGAAACATGGCCCACAAAACCTAACATATTTACTACCTGGCCCTTTACAGACACCGTTTGCTGACTCCTTTATCCAGAGGATTTTTTTTTTTTTTTAGATGAAGTCTCGCTCTTGTTCCCCAGGCTGGAGTACAATGGTGCGATCTCAGCTCATTGCAACCTCCACCTCCACCTCAGCCTCCCAAGTAGCTGGGATTACAGGCACCTGCGACCATGCCCGGATAATTTTTGTATTTTCAGTAGAGATGGGGTTTCATTGTGTTGGCCAGGCTGGTCACGAACTCCTGACCTCAGGTGATCTGCCCGCCTTGGCCTCCCAAAGTGCGGGTTTACAGGCATGAGCTACAGTGCCCGGCCGGATTTTTTTTTTTTTTTTAATCAAGAATGGATGCTGGATATTATCAAATATATTCTTTAGTAACTATTAAAATAAATTCACATTTTCCCCTTTAACCTATTTATATGGTAAATCATATTAGCAGATTCTGAATGCATCCTGAAATATGCGTACTCGGTCAAGGTGTTTTTTTGTCTAGGATTATTTTTGATATATGTGACTTAGGATTTTGTCAGTAATATTTATAAGTGAGTTTAGTCTAACAATTTTCTTCACAATATCCACTAGCATTGTGAAAGGAAGTAGAAAAATCTCTTTTTGAACTATTACTTGATCATACTTAACAAACATGGTATCTCCTCTGAATTCTTAGTGCACTTCAAGCTACTGTTATAGCACTTAATCATATCTAGGACATAGTAAAGGTACTTAACTTCAATTCTCCTTCCACTGCTTCAAAATAGGGGAAAAAAATGCTAAAAGGCTGTTAACTTATCTTCATATACTCCTGCAGTAGTTAGGAGTGAATTCTGTATTAGTCTTTACATACTTACTAATGTTTTTAATGTTCCTTTTTTTCTTACCCTAAGTAAGCCTGTTAATCAAATTCCAAATTTATGTAGGGTGCATATACATTTTTCATACAATTTTTTAAAAAACCAAACTATTGAAATATACACAAAAGTCCTTTCCTTAAGAAAGGTAATTTTACAGATATACTGTGTCAAAGGAAAAGCAAGGACACCTTAATACAGCTAAAAATAAACATGGTTTATAGAATGCATTACTTATATCTTATTCTACACATAATCACACACAAAAATTACTAATAAAATATGCACCAGATAATTCTAGACTGATTTCACAACCAGCTATTCATATATCATTTTAGACAACTTATTTAATCTGTATCTGCCTAAATTTTTTTTTTTTTTTGAGACAGTCTCACTCTGTCACCTACGCTGGAGTGAAGTGATACAATCTCAGCGCACTGCAACCTCCGCCTTCTGGGTTTAAGTGATTCTCATGCCTCAGCCTCCCAAGTCACTGAGATTACAGCCATATGCTACCATGCCCAGCTAACTATTTTTTTTTGAGACAGTTTCGCCCTTGTTGCTCAGGCTGGAGTGCAATGGTACAATCTTGACTCAGTACAACCTCCGCCTCTGGGGTTCAAGCAATTCTCCAGCCTCCCGAGTAGCTGGGATTACAGGCATGCACCACCACGCCCGGCTAATTTTGTATTTTTAGTAGACACATGGTTTCTCCATGTTGCTCAGGCTGGTCTCAAACTCCCAACCTCAGGTGATCTGATTGCCTCAGCCTCACAAAGTGCTGGGATTACAGATGTGAGCCATTGCACACAGCCTAACTTTTATATTTTTAGTAGATACCATGGGGCTTCACCATGTTGGCCAGGCTGGTTGCAAACTCCTGACCTCAAGTGATCCGCCCACCTAGACCTCCCAAAGTGCTGGGATTACAGGTGTGAGCCACTGCACCCAGCCTAACTTTTATATTTTTAGTAGAGAGGGGGCTTCACCATGTTGGCCAGGCTGGTTGCAAACTCCTGACCTCAAGTGATCTGCCCACCTAAACCTCCCAAAGTGCTGGGATTACAGATGTGAGCCACAGCACCCAGCCTAACTTTTATGTTTTTAGTAGAGAGAGGGCTTCACCATGTTGGCCAGGCTGGTTTCAAACTCCTGACCTCAAGTGATCCACCCACCTAGACCTCCCAAAGTGCTGGGACTACAGGCATGAGCCACCACCCGGCCAGGCCTAAATTTCATCATCTATAAAATGATACAACTGATATGATTCCTAGGGTCCCTTTTAGGCAGTAAGATTCTAAGAATCTAAGATAATTTATTTTTAATATCAAATCTCACAAAAATGTTCTCAAACAAGCAGCTAATCCTTAACAAGGAAACAGAGGTGAGGCAAAGTTGTAAATAAAACCCATTCTCCTTTGTTGAATCTTAGTAAGATTTAAAAAGTTACCTTTGTTTCTGAAAGACATTTTCCTTCCTGCTGGTTTCAATCTTTCTTTCTTCTCTTTTTTCTTGGTTGCTTTGACTTGTCCTTGACCAGATGCAGAATCAGAGTCAGAAGAATCAAGTTTGACTTGACGATGCCTTCTCGATTTGGATGCCTTAAAAGTCAGAATCCAATTAACGAATAAATTACAAAATGAATCCAAATGATAGGTAATTCAGAGAAAGATAAAACATACAATCAAAGATGAGGAAAGATTTATAGAAATATCTATCATAAAGCACTTCATTATTACCCTGGCTTACTATAACTACCCGTGTCATGTAAGTAGTCTTTTATCTTTATAACATGAAGTTTCCTGCAGCTGTCATCACCATCTACTCACATGGGGTTAAAACAAAGTTGGTTCTATTATCTGGCATGGTTGGGCAACAGAGGTGTAGAGGCATCTTCTAATAAATGTATTTCCCTTAGGCATTACTGTGTGTTCTGAGGATAAGTACTTCATGTTTGGCTCCAGGTATGGCCATGTAGCTCAGATCTGGCCACAACGAGTTTAACATCCCCATGACCAGAGTAATTTGTTGGGAGTGGGGAGGCTAGCAGGTGGGACATGTGGTCTGTATCATGGCTAACTAAATGCTACTTTGGAACTGTTTAACTGTTAGGAAGGAAAAATTCTTTCTTGTCTTTGAACCTAAAGCTGGGAACATGCAAGGCTGGAGCTGTCAGGAAAACAGCACTTGACAGCAGTGAAAACGGAGGGCCAGTCTTAATGCTATATCCTTAGCCAATCCTGGCTAATGATTTGTTCTGTTACATCAGTAGGTGAATTCCCTTACTTGCTTAAACAAAGAATTTTCAGTTAATGTTGTATATGCAATACAGGTATTAACAAGTCTTAAAAAGCAATCATGTCTCTCAGTATCCATGGAGGATTAGTTCTAGGACCTCCTTCAGATACCAAAATCCAGAGATGCTCAAATTCCTGACATAAAATTGTGTAGTATTTGCATATAACCTATGCAAATACTTTCAATCATCTCTAGATTACTTATAATACCTAATGATATGTAAATGATTGTCATATTGTTCAGGGAATAATGACAAGGAAAAAAGTCTATATATATATTTGGTACAGATGCAATTTTTTTTTCAAATACTTTCAATCCACAATTGGTTGAATCCATGGATGCAGAAACCACAGATACAGTTTAGTAACCTAAACAGCATGGTACTGGTACAAAAACAGACACGTTGACCAATGTAACAGACAGAGAACTCAGAAATAAAGCCACACACCTACAAACCACCTGATCTCTAACAAAGTCGACAATAAAAAACAATGGGGAAAGGACTCTCTATTTAATACATGGTGCTGGGATAACTGGCTAGCCATATCCAGAAGATTGAAACTGGACCCCTTCCTTTCACCATATGCAAAAATCAAGATGAATTAATGGCCTAAATGTTAGACCAAAGATAAGAAACAGCCTAGGAGAAAACCTAGGACATACCATTCTAGACATTGGCTTTGGCAAAGAATTTATCACTGTCCACAAAAGCAATTGCAACAAAAATAAAAATTGACAAGTGGGACCTAATTGAACTACAGAGCTTCTGTACAACAAAAGAAACAACAGAGTAAAACAGATAACCTACATAATGGGAGAAAATAGTCACAAACTTTGCATTCAATAAAGGTCTAATATTCAGAATTTATAAGAAAATTAAACAATTCAAGAAACAAAAACAGCCCCATTAAAAAATGGGCAAAGGCCGGGCGCGGTGGCTCACG